AAGAGGCGGTGGGCAGCACCCACAGCAGGGGCCAGGAGCGACCTGACCTTGCGCCCCGTGATTTCGAGCTTGATGGTGCGCGGGTTCTTGCCCGCGCTGACATGTAACTTGGTGACTCCCTCTCCACTGTGCGTATCCACTTCGAACTGGCGCCACTCACCGTCCACACGGAGCATAGAGAGAGCTTTGGCAACACGACGAGCCGCGAGGCCTTCACCTCCAGCGACACGAATAACGAACACCCGTGAGAGGACATCACGGCACTCAATGGACCACCAGTCGTCAGCAAATCCAGCATCTGCAAGCCACGGCTGCAGCGCCTCCTGCACCTTGACCTTCGACACGAGCTTGCCCGCGTTGACCTTGATGATCGAGTAGTCCACCTCGCGCTCAAACGACGGCGAGGAGACAATGGGCTTGTTGGGCTTCTGGTTGGCCGTGACCAGGGCCTCCTGCAGTAACTTGACACCCTCCTTAAGTGCGACGATATATTCTGAATGAGCCTCAACTTTCGTGTCCACGGACGCGATGATGGCCGAGAGGGAATCGTACTTCTGCGTGAACTCACGACGCAGCTCTTCCAGCCGAGGGTTGAGAGTATCTTGAATCTGCTTGTCCAGTCGCTTCGGGAGCGACGCCATCTCGGCCTGGCACTTCTGGAAGCACTGCTCAAAGTGAGACTTAAAGGAGTTAGCAATGGTCTCGGACTCGCTAGAGATGGCCTCCGTGACTGACTGGGCGACCACACTGTCAACATCCCTCTTGAGCGCTTGGAGCTGGTCGGACACAATGCTGGTGCAGAGCGCGCGGATGTGCTCCTCAGAGAACTCACCCATGGAGACCTCCCCGTCGCTGTCCTCGGCAGCCATGTCTGTGACGGCAGGAGGAGCAGTAGGAGTCGGAACAGCCGCACCACGAGCAGCACGAGCAGCACGCTGCCCACGAGGAGTGACAACCTTCGCCTTGCCGGCTTTGATGACTCCAGCACCGCCATGCGTCGACATCCGACAGACAAAATGACTGTGTTCGAACTCACGCGCGGGGCTGAGTGGGGGAGCCCAAATCCCCCAGTGAAGGCTGAGAAAAAGGGATGCCAGGCAGAACTGCCTTGCCTGCCGCGGACTAGCGGTATCCCTGCATGCCTTGGGGCTGGAAGCCCCCAAAGCCATAGTCTTGAGCCAAAATGGCTACGGAGCAGGAGGAGGAGGAGGAGGAGGAGGAGGAGGAGGGGGAGGAGGAAGACTCCCTCGCGCGCTCCTCAGCGCGAAGCCGTGCGAGATCTACACGACCGCCCTCGACGAGGCGCGGCCCATGGAAGGTATCCCGGGGCCGGAGAAACTGCGCAAATCTGCGAAACCGGCCGCAAACCTCCAGACGGGGGAGTCGCCTGGGTTCGAACTGGAGTGTTGGCGGTGCGCCCATGGGGGAAATGAGAGGGGGCAGGCCTCCACAGGAGGCGGCGGGGGGCATCTCAGGAGCACTCGCGCCTTCTAAGGAGTCCCCTGAGACTTTTCTCCAAAGGCAGAGGCGGCTTCTCAGAAGGCGCGAGGGCTTCTGAGAAGCCCCGCCGCCTTCTGAGAAGGCCTACTCCCTATCCCTTTCCCCACCTGAGCTCGCCACCGAATCTACGAAAGCGTCCGATAACCTCCCGATGGGGGAGTCGCCTGGGTTCCAACTGGAGCTGCCCTCGCGAATTCTCGGGCCATCCTGGAGCGATCTTCGGCCGTCTTCGGGTGCTGTTTGGGGCTTCCTGGGACCGTACTTCAAAAGCCAAGCTTCAAATGCTTCTTAGGGCGGCTTGGGGGCCTCTTGGGGCGTCTCTGGGGCCTCTTGAAGGGTTTGGGGGGGGCAAGTTCGCGTGGCGTGGGGGACGTGTTTGAAGGAAGGGCCTAAAAACCACTGGAATGTTCCTTCTTGGGCACGTCTTGAAACCATCCTGGACCGTCCTCGGGGCCTCACGGCCCATCTCACAGCTCTCGGAGCGCGTTCGGAAGCCTCTGAAGGCGTTTTGTGGGGATCGTGGGAGCCTGGTGGGCCGTCTTGGAGAGCAGCAAGCTCGCTAAGCTCTGCCTCGCGGGGCCCTCTCTGGCCCTCTTGGACGTTTGGGAGTCGTAGGTTGTTTCAGGCGTCTCTTGCGGTGCCTGGGACTCCTCGAGGCTGCATTGGGGGCGATCGCTATCAGAGGCGGTTATGGCCCCCAAAGAGCGTGCCCAGTATCCGGGCCTCACATTCGACATCGGGGTCCCAGTCCTGCTGGGCCCCTTGGGCCCGGTCCCCCGTGTTAGACCCGCAGGGCCCAGGGCTAATTACCAGGCAGGACCAAATTGTCTCCTTATTTGTCTGTTGTCATGCGTCCTCTTGCCTTGTCCCGCTCCTGCCAGGCACCTCTGCGTTGACGTTCCCAGGGGTCCAAGGTTATTCCTTGAGTCTCACCCATTGACGATTGAAGCAGGCATGCGTGCGGCAGCACAAACACATGCGAGAACAGTTCGAGGTGGGGGGCGCCGAAGCTCCCCAGCGGCGGCCGCGGTGACAACTGAACATCGTTCAAACGATCCCTGTCCCCGCTGGCGTGACCTTGGCCTTGGTCACACTGGCCGACTGGCCCACCTAGGTGGGGATAGATGTCTGTTCTTTCTGGTTTCGAGGGGCATCTCCCCGCCTAGGATGGGCTGCTGGGGCTGAGATACCGATACCATAGCCCAGTGGGGATGGTAGAGGAACGAAGAGCGGCAGAAACACAAACTGTCGGAGGTCCGCGCGGACTTCTTGAATCGGTGCTGTACCCCCCTTTCTGGTGCGCGGAGCGCGCCAGGGGCTGTGACGGAGGCGCCGCCAGGGGGGGCCCAGCGCAGGTTCAAGAAATTCGCGCGGAACTCCGAAAATTGATGTTTATGCTTCCTCCTCGAAGAATACCATGGCCCAGGGGCATGGGGATAAGTTTTGAGCATGGACCGACCGTCCCGGCATTCCTATAGGCCAACCACGAAGGGCTCTTATAACCAAAAAAATGCTCTGATACAAAATCTTAGAACAGAACGACGGCTGAAATTATCAAAGCAAGACAGTCTCAACCAGAACTGTTCTAAGAACACTTCGTGCAAACCAAAGAAAATCATAACATTTGTTGGTGGGCCTCTAGGCAAGCCGGGACGCTTCGCCACTGCTTGAACGTGAAAGTACGCTGAACAACGGAGACGGCGGCACCAGAGGCCCAACGGAGGCTCCCTGCAAGTCTCACGCCCGAGGGGCGCGGGCGGTCCCGCAGCACCAGGGCGCCCCCACGGCTAGGAAGACCACTGGCGCAGGAAGTGGCCAGAGGTAGGGAGCCCACAATGGTCGTACGCGCCCAACCCCCAGAGGCCTCCCAGATGGGGTCCGAGGAGATGGGGTCGGCGGATCGCGCCGCATCGCCAATGCATCCCCGATGCATCGGCGATGCATCGCCGATGTATCGGCGACGTCGGCGGCGTATCGGTGACGTCGGATTGGAAAACATCGGGCTCCGCATCGCGCCGCACCGCCGATGCATCGGCGATGCGGCGCGCTCCTCCGACCCCATCTGCTCGCACCCCAATGGGAGGCCTAGACCCACATACATGAATACGGCCCCCCGTCCGCGAGACCAGCCTCGTGCTACGAACGTTCGCGCAATGCGCACTCTTCAGGAACGTGTACGTCCTCTTGTCGCTCCAGGAGAGGGCCAAAGCGGCGGGCATCGGATCGATAAGCCGGGTCCGATCGGGGCGAGCGACGAAGCGGGACGCATCGGCGCAGAGTCGGAGCTGAATCGGCCCGCCCGCGCCAGGATGCACAGCAGCGCCATGCAGGCAGCGGGCTGAACCTGGTGGTCGACACATCGGAATCGACCCCGATCGGGCCGGCCGAACGACATCGGACCGCACCGATCGGATCGCGATGGGCCCTGGAAGGGGGGCCTGGGAAGGCTTCGGGTTGTGCGCAGACAGCGACCCCCCAGCCAGTCCCGGCTGACCTCCATAACCCCCCCAGCGAGTCTCAGCGCCAGCATGCACAGCAGTGCGAGGAGGAGGAGGAGGAGGAGGAGGAGGAGGAGGAGGAGGAGGACGAGGAGGAGGAGGAGGAGGAGGAGGAGGAGGAGGAGGAGGAGGAGGAGGAGGAGGAGGAGGAGGAGGAGGGGGGGGGCCCAGGGCAGATCCAAGAGATCCGCGCGGGCCGTTGGGATCCGCCCCCCGCTCGGCCCGTGCGCGCCGGCCCGGGCGGCGGCGCCGGCGGTGGCGGGCCGCCTCCGAGGCCGCCGCGCCCGCTGCGGCCGGCTCCCCCGCGCGGGCCTCCAGGAGGGCCTCGCCGGGGCCACCGCGGCCACCGAGGGTGGGCGAGTGCCTGCACTACAGCATTCGGCCTGACCTAAGGAACGACAAAACAGGAACGAAGCCCATTTTTTCTCCCAAGCAAGTCTACGAAGTCCGAAAGAACACCGGGGGGGCTCGCCGCCAAAAAGGCAGCGGAGCGCATGCAAACCAAAGGAACGACCGAGCCCCTCTTGAAGAGGAAGTGTTCCTTGTTCAATCCGGACCCTGTAGGGCCTCGTGCTGGCCGGGCATCGTCAGAGGGCGTTCTACACGAGCACCACCACCACCGTGCCTGGGCAGGGCCACCCCAGGACCCCGGAGGGCCCTGGCCAGGCACGGGGGTGGTGCATACACCCAACCAGGATAGTAAGGATGCGCGATAAGGACGCAAGGGCCTTGCGATAAGGATGCAAGGCCATTTCGAAGCTTTTGGAGCGGAGCGCGGCAAGCGAAAGCGGGCGGCGAAGGATGGACCGAGGAGGCGAGGATGCAAGGGTACCCTTGGGAAGGGTGCCCATCCTTACTACCATGGTTGACTGTAGAGCATCGAAGAAGAAGCACCCTCTGCGGGAGGCACATGCCGCCGTCGCCTCTAGAGGCGCGCCAGCGCGCCAGCGAGGGGCGGTGCGCGCTGCGGGCCTGAAGCTCCTGATCTGTCCGGACGCCCTCTCACGACCGTGCACGGGGGGCATCCGGAGCGTGAGCGGAAACTGGAGCGGAAGCTGGAGCGGGGGCAAGAGCAGGAGGAGACGGAGCTCGAACAGGAGAAGGATGGTGGACCAGAAACCAAACGACGCATGCGCCTCGGCGGGCCCGCTCACGGCCATAAAAAAAACAACAAAAAAACGATGCTTGCAAAAATCTCACCAGCCCTCTGGGCGTCGGAGGTTTGGGGCGCTTCCTCTTCCAACCCCCTCCTTCCCCTTCGGGGAGGGGTTTACCCCTCCCCCTACCCCCTCCCCGTGGACCTGGACGGGAGGAGCGGGGAGGTGTCAGAGCGTCCAAAACGGCCTCGGCGAGGAAGCCAAAATCATTGATTTTACTAGGCTTTGGCCCCATTTTGGCCTCCCGGGGGGGGGACCCTAATTGAGGAACCCCCCTTCGTTGACCGATCTCCTCCAAGATGGCCCCAAGAAGCGCGGTCAACATGGTCGCCTGGGCTCAAACGCACCCCATCTCCTTTGGGGGCAGGGGTCCCAGGAGGCCTCGACCCGGGGAAGCTATCAGAGGTTGATGAAGACCCTGAGGCCCTAGAGGACAGTCACTGGAGGACGACGAGCGGGGAGGACGGACGGGCAAAAAGAGGAGGGCAGGGCTGTGGGCTCCCGAAGCCGTGAACCCATCCAGAGTCGGCAGAATGCCCGCTCCCCTCCCCCCCACCCACCCCTCGCCTCGCCTCGCCTTCCCGCGTCCGTCCATCTCCCCCTCCCTCCCCTCACCCCCGCTCCCAGGAGGTCCCCAGTAGGAACCTCCACTGCTCGCCCTCCTCTTCCTACTTCGTCGATCCCCCGGAAGATATAGGAATGTGTGAAGTGGGGGGAAGACAAAAACCCAGAAAATATGAGAAAAGATTGGGAATCCTGTTAATTGTGTGTATGTATATATATATATATATAGTTGTGTCCCAGGACCCCTTCAGCATCCCCTTCCTCCCACTCTCATTCGACGACGGAAAAGCGTCACCACCCCCTTCTGGGACGTCCTCCATTTGCCGCCCCCTGCCCACGCGGCCTCATACCGCCTCGATACCGCCCCTGCCTATGCTCAGATTTGGCTGCGAGCGAGGGGGGGAAATGAGAAGGATAAGGCCTTCTCAGAAGGCGGCGGGACTTCTCAGAAGCCCTCGCGCCTTCTGAAAAGTATTTTCTGTCTTCAGGGAAGGGTTAGAAAACTTCTCAGAAGGCCGGGGGACTTTCGAACCTTCTGAGAAGGCCTTCTCCTTCTCACTTCCCCCCCTCGCTCGCCGCCGACAGATGCACAGGAGAGGAGCAGGAGGAGTTGCCGCCAACTCGCCCTCCTCTGACCCAAGCAGTTTTACGAGCTGCGTCCTGCTGTAGCGACCAGGGCCCCCCCCGAAGGCCACACACAGTTGCCTTAACTCGCCCTCCTCGGAAGGAGGTCGGGCGTTGCGTCATGCGGGGATGGACAACACCCCCTTTAGCAAAACGTGGTTTAGTAAAAACGACCTCGGGCCCAAACCTGGCGGGCGCAAGCCTGTAAAATGACGGCCGCGGCGCCCACTCGAAACCGAAAACGGACAGTTCACTAATCGACGTGTCAGGGTGGGAGCTCTGTCCACCCCCGAGTTATGCGGGGCGAAAAAACAGGGGGTGAAGAAAAGTGCACCTCTTGTGCACCTTAGAGGCCCTGAAGGGGCCTGCCCAAAAGGATACGGAAAGCGCACGTTTCTTTATCCCCCCGATAGAGCCATGTTGCTTATTCGCGATAGCGCCCATGACCAGCCCCCCTCCCCTCCCCTCCTCCCCCTCCCCTCCTCCCCCTCCCCTCCTCCCCCTCCTCCCCTCCTCCCCCTACCCTCCTCCCCCTTCTCTCCCCCGTGGTCACGTCACAATTCATGCCAGCCAGTGCCGTCTGGGAATAAGCCGACCCCCTCCCAGACAGCGCCGGCGAGAATCGTGACGTGACTGGCCCCCTCCCGCCCTCCCCCCCAGTCACGCCTGTTATCGCCAGGAGCCAATAATACCTCTTCTCGCCCCCCCCATTACTGGAAGCCTCCCAGATGGGGTCCGAGCAGATGGGGTCGGAGGCTCGCGCCGCATCGCCGATGCGCAATCGACGTCGGCGACGAAAACCGGGCTCCACATCGAGCCGCATCGCCGATGCATCGCTGAGCAGGGACCGGGCCTACCACGAAATGTTCTTAGAACCCAAGCATGTTCTAAGAACCAAAACAACGTTCTTAGAACATCAGCCCGATGTGTTAAAACAAGACAGTCCCAGCCAGAAATGTTCTGAGAACATTTCGTGGAACCCACACAAGGTTCTTAGAACACTGTTTGGTAGGCCTATAGGCACGCCAGGACGCTTCGCCACTGCTTGACATCGGCGAGATGCGGCACAACCCTCCGACCCCAGCTGCTCGGACCCCAGCCGGGAGGCCTGACAACCACGCGGCGCCCGAGGGAAAGGCCCGCCCCGCCTCGCCGGGCGCGAGGCCCACCTGCCCACCCACCACACCACCCCGACCGAGCCCGACGCCCCAGATCTTGAGCTGCATGCAGGGCGCACTGGCTTCACCCTCAGGAGGCAACTACTGTGAGGTCTTCGTCGGAAGGAGTAAGGAGGATTAAGGCCCATTGGGGGGCTGCTACGCAGGGGTGGGCCTCGGATTAAGCGGGATTAAACGGGATCAAGCCGGATTAAGCGGGATTACGCCAGATGAAGCCGGATTTCGGACCAGGACAAAATCAGGATTTAACCTCCCGGGAGCTGCATCCGAATCACCCTGTGTTTGTTCAGATGTTTTTGGGGCGCCCCCCCACACTGGGAGTGGAGGGCAACTTGGTAGAGGAAAGAGAACTACGCACATACAACGATTCTGGCCAGGCCCATCCTGAGCCCAGGATCGGTGTTATACGCCCTCCTGCCGTGGCCAGGGAAGCATATGCGCCGATCCTGGGTCGAGGATGGGCCTTGCCAGGATCGGTGCATGTGCCTGGTTCTCTTCGCCCGACTTGGGGGCCTTCAGTAGAGGCCTCCTACATGGGGTCCGAGTAGATGTGGTCGGAGGATCTCGCCGCATCGCCGATGCATCGCCGATGCATCGGCCATGCATCGGCCATGCACTGGCGACGTCGGCGATACATCCGCGACGTCGGCCTGGCGAAAATTGGGCCCCATAACGAGCCGCATCGCCGATGCATCGCCGATGCATCGGCGATGCGGCGCGATCCTCCGACCCCATGTGCTTCGACCCCATCTGGGAGGCCTAGATTCAGGTTGGGTCGGGGTTAGGAGAGCTCCAAACAATACACCACCACTAGCCCCGGCCAGGCCCATCCTGGGCCCTGGACCGGTTTGCAGGCCATCCTGGCCTGGGCCTGGAGGTCTATACGCCAATCCAGGGCCCAGGATGGGACTGGCCAGGGCTGGTGGTGGTGTATCCTTGGCGCCCCTCCGAGGGGTGGTCTGGTGGGCAGTGACCACCGACACGCGCGCGCCGCGGCGCAGGCGCAGCAGGGCACGCCGCTCGTCGCCGCCCAGCGGGCGCACGCCGGCCAGCCCGCCGGGCTCCCCCGCGCGCCTGCGGAGCGGGCGCGAGGGGCACAGAGCTGCGGATCGCTGGCGCCGAGGGGGGGGCCGCCCGCCTCCTGTGGGCCCAATGCCCACGCGGTGGCGCAAGTAGCATGTCAGGGCTGAACCTAAAGGATGTGTTTCGTTTTCGTTTTGTTTTCGTTTTCCCTCGTTTTGTCTTCAATCCGCCTTTAACGCAAAACGAAATCGAAAGGAACCTGCACCAGTTGCAGCTTACAGTTTCCACTGTTACAGTTCTGCGTCTTGCTGCTTACTGTCTGCTTCTTGCTGCTTACTACTCCTTGTTGATGGACCGCGCGAGGGGGGGAGGCCCAAAACGGGCATTTTTACCACGGCCAAAAACGTATTGTCTGAATTGCTAGGGTGGGTAAAAATTGACACCCCTCACGCAGACCGGCGGGGTCAGGGTCCAAAAATACATGGGATTTGCCACACTTCTGAAATTCGGTGGCACCCGTGACGCAGATCGGCAGGGTCAGGGTCCAAAAACACATGAGATTTGCCACATTTCTGAAATTCGGCGGCACCCCTCACGCAGATCGGCAGGGTCAGGGTCCAAAAACACATGGTATTTGCCACATTTCTGAAATTCGGCGGCTCCCCTCATGCAGATCTGCAGGGTCAGGGTCCAAAAACACAAGGGATTTGCCACATTTCTGAAATTCGGTGGCACCCGTGACGCAGATCCGTAGGGTCAGGGTTCAAAAACAAACAGGTCCCGACACTGCTTCACGGCGGCGCCCAGATCTCATGATTTCGCTCTTCCATGGCCCATTCTCCGAGAGAGGGGGGGGGGGCCGGCGGCAGTGGGCGAAGCCCTTCCGGATAAATAAACACAAATAACAGGATTACCCATATTTGTCCACATTTCCTGGGTTTCTGTCTTCTCCCCCACTTCCCATATTTTCCCATATTTCTGTGGAATCGACGATTCATTGTGTGTGAGTGTTTTTTCCCCTCCTGACCTTTGCCCTCCACCCAAAGAAAACGCTTGGAAAAAGTCGGATCGGATCGGAACGTGCGCCTGACCAGGCCGCATGGGCACGGGGACGAGAATTGCTTTCCACCACCACCACCACCATAAGTTGGAGGGGGGAAGGAGGAGAAGGACGAGGAGGAGGAGTACGAAGAGGAGGAGGAGGAGGAGGAGGAGGAGGAGGAGGAGTACGAAGAGGAGGAGGAGGAGGAGTACGAAGAGGAGGAGGAGGAGGAGGAGGAGGAGGAGGACCTCCTCCCCCTCAAACTTGGGGTGGTGGTGGATAACCAGCCCATCAGCCTCGGATCGGAGGGCCACGCAGGCGTCGGGCCGCACCGGATCGTGAGAGCGGCAACGGCGGCGAGGGCGCCCGCGATGCTTTCCGCCGAGCCGGGCCGGAGCAGCAGCGGCAGCAGCGGACCTGCCCCGTGGCAAAGACGGGCCAAACAGGGCCGAGGCACCCATCAGGTGACTACCCACCAGACCACCCCAACCCAACCCGAAGACCCGAATTGGACCCGAATTTCGGGTTGGGGGGGGTACGGGTTCCATGTGTTTTCTCCCATGTTCCCTGACCCCACCCCACTGGAAATGGAGGGCAAATTTGGGCCTCCGGGTTGGGTTGGGGTGGTTTGGTAGTTGGTGATCCGCCGAGACGGAGCAGCAGCGGCAGCAGCGGACCTGCCCCGTGGCAAAGACGGGCCAAACAGGGCCGAGGCACCCATAAGTTGAAGCCAGGGCCCCAGAATCGGGGACCCTCTGAGTAAACCAGGACACGAGGGAAAATGCTCCGTGTGCCTAGAGGCCTCCTGGGTGGGGTCGGAGTAGATGGGGTCGGAGGATCGCGCCGCATCGCCGATACATCGCCGGTACATCGGCGATGCATCGGCGACGTTGACGTGAAGCAAAGCGGGCTGCACATCGAGCCGCATCGGCGATGTGTCGGCGATGCGGCGCGATCCTCCGACCCCATCTGCTCCGACCCCATCTAGGAGGCCTGGAGTGCCGAAGTTAGGCAACAGCATGTGAACCCGACCCCTGCAGGGCCTGCAGCCAAGCGAACCCCAGCGTGGGTGTCCTATACCCCAGCCACAGCGCCCATTGCACCCGTAGGCAAAGGATTCGCAAGCTCTTTGACCAGAAAGCACACGGCACCACCCTACCTACGGCCCCACGGGCCGTAGCGTATACCAGGACATCTGGCGTGGGTGTTTGCGTGGTATACGCTACGGCGCCCGATGGGCATTAGCGCAGCATGGAGGCCGTAGGTGGGGTGGTGTCGCTTGGTTTTCGGTCGAGCTCGTTCTCTCCCACCGGATGCTGGCAGAGTTCTGGCTTGCAAGGTCCTGGCTTCCGGTATCCCGACGGGGAAGCCGAGCCAGCAGCTCGGCGGGAGTACAGTCAACCCGAATAGTAAGGATGGGCAACCTTCCCAAGGGTACCCTTGCATCCTTGCCCCTTCGGCCCATCCTTAGCGCCTTTCGCTGGCCAGCCCAGTTCGACAAACGTTGGCATTGGCCTGCAAGGCCCTGGCATCCTTACCGCGCATCCTGACGATACGGGTTGGCTGCGGAAGCGGGGCTGGGACCGCGGGGGCAGGAAGGGGCAGCCCGGCCAGGCCTGACGCGGGCAGCCTGGAGGCCGTCCAGCCACCTGCCCGGAGGCATCAGCACCACGTCACGCACGCACCTCAGCCCACCCAGCTCCTCGCCGCCGCGGAGAGGGAGGAGAGGAGGTGGCGGAGGATGACGACAGCGACGAAAGAAAGAGAAGGGAGGGCAGGACCAAGAGGGAGACGAGGCTTGCACACTCAGTGGACCGTACCATCGGATCCAGAGCCCCAGTCCGCCACTGATCACATAATCATCTTGGGCGGACGATAACGAAGGTCCTCCTTCTTCCCCTCATGGGCAAGTTGCCAGCACTGAGACGAAGGAAGAGGGGCGATGACCACACATGCGAGGGGCCAGCTGCAGAGTAGTTGATGCAACTCGCGTGGAACGCTTGGCGCGGCTTGGGATTCGACACACGACCGCACACGCAAATGCACACACACACACACACAAACACACACACACACACACACACACACACACACGCACGCACGCACGCACGCACGCACGCACACACACACACACACACACACACACACACACACACACGTGACACACAACACAGAACACCAGAGAAACGGGGGGCGGCCACTCAGCCCGTTGCGCATCAACTCGGCAGGCTGCGCCAGCCACGCGCAAGCAGAGCCGTCGGCCATTCAAGTCACGCAGCGCATGAAACAGGTAGGAACCCGACCTGCTGCAATCATGTCGGATTCGGCAACGCGGCCTGGCACCGATGAAGCCACGAACTTCAGGAGTGCAGGGGAGAATATCACAAAGTCAAGGTCGGGCAAACACATCCATATCTAAGGTATGTGTGCACCAAAGCGTCGCATGTGGCCGCCATGTCAGCACACTGTCATACGTTCAGACACCGTGGCCGTGCCACATTCCAACACACACACACACACATACGCACACACACACAAACACATACACACAATAGCGAACGAACGAACAAACGAACGAACGAGGAGAAGATACGGATGCCACCCAGATGTCCAAACTCTGCAAAGCGCCCCTTGGCCGGACTACAAGTGGCATCCTCGGTGGTGCCTCTCAGTAGCGGTCGAGTCGTCTCGCCCATGCACCACTCAAGTGTCATACGTGCACGCACGCTGAGACAGCAGTGCCACATGTGTTGTCGTGCCTCTCTACGCCAGGAGCAGGAGGAGGAGCAGCAGCACCAAACGCAACAACAACAGGACTAGGACGAGGACGACGACTGCGCAGCGCGGGTCGAGAGTGCGGGCTCGGCCCGCGCATGACGAAGCATGCATTCATTGCGCGCGGGGCCCGTCTGTGGATCCTGCCGCCCGACCCCCCACGGTGGCCATGCACGATACGTACTGAGACGACCTCTCCAGCCCCGCCGTGATGGCACCGCTGAAGGGGCCCTGGGACACACAAATAAATACACACACAAATGGAAGGATTCCCCATATGTTCCCATATGTTCTGGGTGTTCGTCTTCCCCCCCCACTTCCCATATTCTCCCATATGTTCCTGGAGATCGACGATTAGTTGTGTCTGGCAGGGTCGAGATGGACAGCTTTGCGGACCCAGCGCCCGCCGACACGGCTGCCCCAGAGGCGCGGAGGGCCCTCTTGAGGTGCTACAACCCGTAGACCAACCGTCCAGCGCTCCGCTTCTGCGACCGCGTGGCCTGTGATGCTGCAGCTCGGCGACCGCTGCTGGGCAGTGAGGTCCGATTATCTTCTTCCGACAGGCTGCGGGCGTCGACCCCGAGTTGTAACTGCGCGTCTCCGAAGAGGAGGGTTCTAGGGCCACCTTATTGACTTCGCGCGTCGCGGCCCGCGATGCGCGACGCGCGGACATCCTCGCGCCCTCGCGCCGCCTCTCCGTGGAGGAGACAAGCTCAGCGGCCCTTGCCGCGACGCGCGAAGCGCGGCTACCTTCGCGCCCCTGCCAGCGGCATAGCTCTCGCCGCAGTGATGGCTGCGGGCGGCTTGCATCAACACGGGCAAGCGGCCTCCTCCCGCCCTGGGGACTGAAGACGTGCCAGCACGCCTGGATCATCAGCTGGCGCCTGCTAAGACACCGCCGGCGGACGGGCACGACCCACGACGCACAAGTTCGCGTCGTGTCGACTTCGGCGCTGGTTTCTGACACCGAGGGGATCGTTCAACCTTGAACGGTCGGCCGTTTCCGAAACGTCAAATCGTTCAACTTCGACCGATTCTGGGTCGCCGGCGCCGTTCGACACGACTCGAACCTACCGCACCTGCCCATCACCCAGCAGCACAAGTCCCTCGACTCGGTGGCGGTCAGCGCGCACCCGCGCGCGAGGAGGTCACTGTGGGGCCTGCCCTACCAGCAGGCAGTGCGCACCGCTGGTGCCTGCGCCTGCGCGCCGCGCCGCGAGGCCTCCGCGAAGAGCTCCAGCGCAGCACCCCCGTCGCTCCCCGATGCGGACACGGCGCAGGCCCTGCGCGCTCTCCTCGCCCCCAGGTTACTGTTGCCTGCCTCTGGGCTATATTCGCCCCCTGGCCATCGCTCGGACGTCCATTCCCTATGTTTTTGTTCGGTTTCGTACATGTTTTTTCGCCGGATGATCCAGGATGCTCCTGAATAACCCCCGCCGAGAAAAAGCGAACACGTCCGAGCGATACCAAGCCCCTGTCGTCGCCTCCGACAGCCTGGGGACGCAAGAGGCGGAGGGCGCCTGCGCTGCTAGCGGCTAGCGCTTATCTTTGCCCTAGCCCGGTCCGAAGCTCGCCGCCTGGCGGGCGTGGTGCGGGCTGGGCACAGCGTCCGACTTGGGCACCGCGCCGAGCTGGCCGACATCGCCCGCGGCAAGCACGCCGTCGTCTGGCTGCCCAGTGCCACCCCGCAGGGAGGAGGGAGGGGGGCAGGAAGAGGAAGGAGGAGGCCGTACACGAGACAGCGCGGAGGAGGAACGAAGGATCAGGGAAGACGGAGGGCGGATGAGGGAGGGGGGGCGGAGGGATCAGGGAGCAGGGAAGGAGAGTGGCACCGGTGCAAGTGGCATTGTCGATAATGGCATGCTCTTGCGCACCAGGCTGAGGATGGTATCGGCCGTAGGGGGTCCGAACCATGGTAGAGCTGCTGGGTGGTGCGCTGCAAGATACTAGCCAGTGCTCCCTCAGGATACTATATCGCACACATACGCTGTGGGGCCCCGCACGCGAACGCTGTGAGGCTCGCTGTGGACGAGGTCGACGTGGAAAAGGTGGGCCGACGTATAGAGATCCGTGGGATGGGAGGCATCCGCATCCGAGCACCCGAATGACCGCGGCACTGTGGGACTGCTGGGGCGGCGGCGAAGGGGCAAGGCGGGCTGCGCAATAGCTCGTTGCGCCTGGATAAGGAGTGGCTCGAGGAAGGGAGGCGGCCGCGCAGGGCAGTCAGGAGGAGAAAACACACTCAGATTCGTGGAGATCTTTGTGAGCGGCGCTTGCGGCCTCAGCCTCCCAGCAGGGGTCGTGTAAAGTGGCTGACGTCCCCAATGCCAAAGGAAACAGGGGCACCAGAGAGTCGATGGTCCTCAGACCGCGTGCTGGCGCCAAGGCGCGCTTGTCCACCGAAGCCATTGAATAAGACACGGGCGGTGCAACGAGGGCCGACAAGGGCTGCGTGCGATCGGCGGATTTGAACCAAGTAGCTCTCACAAACACGCGCAAACACGCACACACACACACACTCTCTCTCTCTCTCTCTCTCTCTCACACACACCTCTTCCAGGAAGGTGACGGCACCATCACGAGTGCAAGCAAGAACGGTCCACGCTCGAGCGTTCCGCATGCCGCCAGGCGTGGCAGATGGCGGACTGCGTTGGGCGAGTCGGCGTGCAAGGACAAGGGCACCCGACCTGGTCAGCGGGCAGGCGAAGCCTGGAGACGTACAGTGGCGTGCAGAGCTGGGCAGTAAAGCAACACACAAACACACACACATACACATACATTCGGCTAACAGACGTCCTGAGGATCATCGAGAACGGGGGGCTATTGCTGAGGCAGGGCCCGGAGTCTCCCTGGTCGGGCTGTGTGTAAAGAGTGCTGGCAAATCAGGCAGGAAGCGGAGGGTTAGGTAGTCAGCGTAAGCTGGTCGCGCGAAGGAATGAGGGGGCAGGAAGGAGAAAGGACTGAGGGATGAGGAGTTGATCGAGATTTCTGTCAAACCTTGACCGTCCCCTGCCATCATCACTCGAAGGCACGCTGATCGACCTCCACCGAAACTCCGAGGATCCTCGGGTGGCAGCCTCGAGTTATGAGTCTCCACCCATCCATGTTCTCTCGTGTCGGGAGGGCGGGAGGGGGGCAGCCTGCGCGAGAAGAGACGCAGTCCTCCGAGAGCGCAGCGATGGCCTCCCCGGACGTGCCCGACCTGTGAAGCAGGAGGGGGTACCCACACAATTGAGGAGACGAGGAGAGAAGGAAGAGAAGGAATTGCGGAGGGAGGGGGGAGGGGAGGGGGTGCCCCACGATGTCCGAAGTCCGAAGTAAAGGGGGGGCCAGAGCATGGCGCCGCAGGGAGAAAAGAACTCAGTGGGGAACCAGAGGATACGGGATATGAGATGGAGAAAAAGGAGAGCGAGGCGAAGGATGACGGAGGACGTGGGCGGACGTAGGGGGAGGAAGACTGGGTGGAGGACGGAAAAAGGGGAGAGAAGGGGGGCGGAGGAGAAAGATGAGGAGGACGAGGATGAGGTCTAGGAGAACTGCCTTCGGCGAGCGGCGGGAAGGAACGAAGAGGAGGCGGATGAAGTGCAGGGAGCGAACAAGGGAGGGAGGGGACTCAAGGAGGTGTGGATGTGGAGAGGATGGAGGGAGGGGAAAGAGGGAGGGGTGGCTAGTGAGGTAGAGTGGAAGGGGAGTGGAAAGGTAAAGGCAGAGGGAGGAGAAGGGAGCCCAGCACACCAGAGCCCGGGGGGGACGGGGGAGGGGGGTTGTTTTTGAATTGCTTTGCTTCCCCCGAGGCCCAATCGGGAGGCGCACCCAGGCAAAAGCGCAACGACCCCAACTACGGCACCGAAGCCCCGTAGGAGACGCCTCCACGCCACAGCCTAATAGTGCACCTCCCGCCTAGGGACAAGGGCTAGCCACACTAGGATTCGTCATCACCAGCCACATCGACGCCAGGCCGACAAATCGGAAGGCGACTCACGGCCTCGCTATATCGCAACCCTCGCGCACGAAGGATCACCCTTGGCGCCCCATCACAGTGGGAAACGACCTCGACGAATGCGGGATATAATTGCCGCACATGTGCCTGGTCCGTCCAGGGAACGCAAAGACAATGTGTTTCGGATCGCTGCCTGCGGTGTCCACACCGCTGGTAAAAGGTCAGACCGAATTCGAGCCAGAACGCGAACTGGCGAGATTCGTCAAGTTGCTCAACTACACCGACCTCGGCGACCAAGCACGCCCCACACGACCTCCATCCACTGCCTGCCCCAGGCTCCCTGTTGTAATCGGCCTTCTGCACTGCGTGCCACAAAAATACAACAGATGGCGCGAGCGCGCCATGTGGTCGTAGCGCACGAACGCCCACCGCCCACCGCAACGCTGCAACGCTGCAACTCATGATCTGACCGCTGGACACCGAGGCGAGCAGTGCGGGCTGGACGCCGGGGGCCCGCCGCTCGCGTGCCCTTCTCCAGGTCCGCTGCGCTCGCCAACTCCGGCGTCTTCCTGGACGTCCGACGCACCAGCGTCGCGATCGCGTCGACCTCATCGGCGTGAGGCGCGGTGCGCCAGGAGGAAGGTAGGCTTGGAGGTGGGCAGGTGTTCGTGCTCTTCCGTATGTCATGCCACCCACTCCACTCGCGCCGCGAAGGCGGCCCAAGCCCGCCGGCACAGGTCCTCCATCGCGAGCCCCGCCTGACCGGCACACGCCAGCCTCCCGCGCCACGCGCGGAACAACGGCTCGTGGTCCGCGATGAACCGCACGTTGCCCGCGGTTCCCTCGAGCGCCAGCACGAACGCGAAGATATCCGCGCGGGGCACCGTCTGGCGACAACCTGCTGGCGGCACTGCTCGGCCCCTTGCTGGAACCCAGGCGCCCTCGGGGTCTCGCTGCATGATCGCGACGGCCGTCCCGCATCGGCGGCAGCGCGGGCTTGCGGAAAAAAAACCGCCCGAGCAGTCGCCGAAAGCCTTGAGGAAACCCAGCACGTCGATGAGTATCGTTTAACCGACCCCCATCCCCAGCGGCGTGGCCTGGGCCCCACTGGCCGATTTACCCGCCTAGATGGGGATATAGGCATTTCCCTTCGGGTTTCGAGGGGTGTGTCCCCAACTGGGGTGGTAATTTGGTCGGGGTCTCCAAGGGGATGGGGATGGGGATGGGGGTCGGATAAACGATGCTGAAGTCAGGGCGTCGCGCAGCACGTCGAGGTCGCCGCCGAAGCCGGCCGACGCCCCCCCGTGCCAGCTCCTCGTCGCAGCGCGGCGTGGAGGGCGCCGCAGGCGCGGCGCCCCGCGGACACAGGCCGGGCGGCGCCTGCAGCTCCGCGAGCGCCCGCGGGAGGAGCCCGTCCGACTTCTCGGCTCGCCCCCCGCTGAGCATCGTTTAACCGATCCCCTTTTGCTTTCCTCCGGTATCCGCGCAAGCGAGATGGCCGATTCGATTCAGGAGCGCACCTTCAGCCAATACGTACAGCAACATTGGCGCGCTGATCCCCAGACAACCCCTAAGACCATGACTTGCGAGAGCACCTGGGCAATTGAGCACGTTCCTCCTGGGCGCCTCCCGGGATCCAACGCGCGCTGGGCGTTGCTTGACGTGGGCCAGAAGATTTCCCCCCCTAGGTGTGGATATACAGTCAACCATGATAGTAAGGATGGGGCAACGTTCCGAGGCTACCCCTGCATCTTTGCCCCTTCGCTATTCGGCATCCTTCGGCATTCTGCTGCGCTCCGCACGGAAAACGTCAACATGGCGTTCCAAGGCCCTTGCATCCTTACCGCGCATCCTTACTATCCTGGTCGAGTGTAGGCCGTTCCCTTCGGATTTCGATGGGTGTATCCCCAACTGGGGTGGTAAATTGGTGGGGGTCTCGAAGGGGATGGGGATGTTGAGCAGGGACCGACCGTCCCTGCATTCCTATAGGCCTACCACGACATGTTCGTAGAACCCAAACCTGTTCTAAAAACAAAAACAATGATCTTAGAACATAAACCCGATGTGTTAAAACAGGACAGTCCTAGACTGAACTATTTCAAGAACATTTCGTGGGTACCACGAAAGGTTCTTAGAACATTATTTGGTAGGCCTATAGGCACACCAGGACGCTTCGCCACTGCTTGAGGATGGGGATTATCGTTTTCCGAGCGGTGTGGCCAGAAAACGCCCGCCAGGACGCATATACTATAAGACTTCACGGTGCGGGCGTCGCCCCTGGGGGGGGTGCGACGCACACATAGTATTAGTAGGTTGGGGTGACGCCGATGCATCGCTTGGAGAACTCGCCAGGTAGCACGCAGCCCGCCTCCGACCTGCGAGCCTTGGACCACTGCCCGCCGGCCACCTCCGAGAGGTTGAGCCCCCACTCCGATGTGCTGCATCTCGTATGCGATCTGCCAGAACTCCGCGCCCGTCAGCAAATCCTCACCCGCCTCGTGTACGGAGGCCTGCCTCCAAATGTACCCGAAGATCAGGCCCCACGTCGTCTAGCACGGCCTGAACCTCGCGCAGATCCGAAACTCGGGGCCGTCAGCATTGGGCAAAAACCACTGGTCCTGGCCCTCAGGCGCGAACCAAACCCACTGCGTGGCGGAGACGGGCAACCAGCCGAGGTCCAACAGAGTGGTCTGCTGCGCACCAGCCGGCATTCGGACCCTCTGCCATCGGCGAGACCCAGCCCGCAGAAGGGCACCTCGCACGTGCGGCCACGCCCTCCGAATGCTCCCGTGGAGCTGGGGTGCCGAGAACCACGGGCCGCACCAAGACTCTACGACATGCTTGCGCAGAACCGCGCGGATGTCCATGAGCCCCATATATAGCCCATCGTCGCCGCCAAACCGCCAAAACCCAAGTCAGACACATTCCTTTGGCGAAGCCGCCCACCGCCTGGGCTGCCTGCCGCCGCAAAACCCTGACGCCTCGGGGCAACTCTCAGGACCAGGTGCCCGCAGGCGGCATGAGAGAGCCCCCGTTGACTAAAGGCCTCGGCACTCCTTGGTCAGCGCCGTCTCCTGGCGAAGGCGCATGCTACGCCGAAGCGCCGCGCACCACCTCGCAGCCGCATCGAAGCCTGTCGAGCCCTCGACGAGAGCGACGGTGTCATCGGTGCACCTCCACAGCCCAGCTCGAGGGCATTGCACCGGCGCCCTCTGCAGGACCGGGTGGAGACACGGCTTCCCCAGAGGCGGGAGGGGAGGGGAGGGGGGGGAAGGAGGGAAGGAGGGGAGGAGAGGAAGGAGGGGGGAGGGGCAGGGGCTGGGGGATGCTGAAGGGGAGGGGAGGCGGAGAGTGGGGAGGGAGAGGAAGAAGGGGGAAGGGGATCGGAGGAAGGGGCGAGGGCGCGAGTCCCACCTCCTCCACCTCCTCCTCCTCCTCCACTTTCTCCTCCTCTCTCCTCCAGCCCTCTGGGCGCAGGTGCTCTGCTTCAGAGCACAGCTGAACGGTGTTCCCCCTGGATCACGCCTCCCCCCTTCCCGCGATGTTGGATGGTCCGCGCTGCCCTACGTTGCCCCCGATATTGCGCACACACGTCTACTGCTGGCCAAAGATGATAAGCAACGAAGTACCCCCTAACCATTTGAGAGGGGACCTAAGTTAGGAGAGGCACAAACATCAGGGATAGGGGATCAGTTCTGCAGATGTGTCAAACCAAATCGCACAGACAGATGTACTATCCCGAATGCGAAGACGGGGACCTGAGTGAGGCCACGCCTTCATCGTGTTACTAGGGTCAGGGTTTCTTTTGCTCCCGATGAAAAGAAGCCCTCGGAGGACATAAACTGGCTCTGTGGTGGCCACCGAGCCTCCCAAATCCGCCGACCCTGCCGGCGCGTGTGAGGGGGAGTTCTGGGCTTGTCGTCTTCGGCGCACCCTCTTTGGCGTTCTCCTCGGCGCGCCCTTTGGCGTTCCCTTTGGCGCGCCAAGAGCTCGTCAACTCGAGGTGAACCAGGCCAGGTCGTGATCGAACTCGTAATTGAGTCGGAAGGGAGCCCCCTCCCTTTGATCCCTTCCCCACCGTGGGGGGTCATTGAGTCCAGAAACGGTGCGGTGACAGACCATGCGGTGACCTCGAAATTTCACAAAACCTCACCGCACGGTCTGTCACCGCACGGTCTTGGGACCCCGGAGGCCCCCGTCGCCCGAGACATCTTCGGAGAACGACCCGAGTCCCAAAACCGTGCGGTGACCCCGAATCCCAA